TTGTCCAAATGGGATGGAATTTGGCACTTACGACCGAATTGAGTCCAGAAGCTAGTATGTCAAATTTGGTGAAGATCGGTTCAGATATAGCTATAGCTTCCATATATATTATTCATCCGATTTGTTATATTTGTTACCAACAACCGTAATATGCACTCCGTAACAATGATATTCAGGGAAATATATCAAATACAGCTCAGAAATATCGTTGCCAAATTTTATCGAGATCGGTTCAGATTTGGATATAGCTCCCATATATATCTTTATCCGATTTCAAATTAATTGTGCACCAAATGGGCAATACAATTCCGAATATAAAAGATACAAATGCTTCGGCATATTTAGTCCTTTGAACTTTAAATTATAATTATAATCATAGCGTGTGTGATTGAATTCTCCCATAAAAACTTTTAATTGTTATGTGGAGCTCTACTTAATTAAAGTGGTGTAGGGTATCATAAAGTCGGCCCCGCCCGACTTTTGAGCTTTTCTTACTGGTTTTTCATTGGAGAAAACAAAATTCGTCCGTTCAACACTTTCGGTCAGGCGAAGCATCCCTTTAGCTCTTTCGAGTATATTTTCTTTCTGTTGCGGTGTAAGTTCTTGCACTTTTTGAAATTTCAAAGGCTTTACCCCAAGCTCATATTTCAATATTTGCCGAATGGAATATTGCGATATGTTCAACTCACAAGCCATTTTTCGGTCACTCCGACGCGGGTTTCGATCAAGTCGTTTCTCTACTTTTCGAACCTTAGGTGCTGATGTTGCTATTTTCTTCCGTCCAATTCCTTGACGTCGGGCTACTCTACCAGTAACGAGCGATGGTACGAAACACAAAGGATTTATTCATATTTAAATGCTGGAGTACTCTAACGATAGCCACTTGCGGTTTCCCAGCCAAATATAAAGAAATCACACTATCAAGCTTAAATTCCATCACGAATAATTTTTTTTTTCTGGAAAATTCTCAACAAAATGCTTTTGTACGCTTGTAAACAATGTAATGAGCTGTCAGTGGAATAATTTTAACAGCTGTCGGACGAGTGGCTTAGAAATGGCAGCAGTCTAAATTTGGTTGCTGGCCCAAATTTTAGATAACTCAGACAATAGATTTTACAATAATTAGGGTTTCACATATAGGGGAAAAGAGAAGTTCGATAGTTCGAATTTTGCGACTTGTTTGATTTGATTGGACACTTTTTAAATATGACTCCTGTGAATTAAATTGAACATCTTACTTCTATGTCAATAATAAGAGAAGCTGACTAAAGCAACATATTTAAGGATTTTTTGATTTTTATATCACTGTCACAATTTTGCCACGGATGATCTCAGGCTATAGGAAGCCTCCTATTCCTACTTTGTAGTCCATTTTAATCTATGTATGTCAGCCCTAAACCGTTCAGCAATATGTGACAATTTCTTAACCTGGCATCGAAACACATTTGATCTAATTCAATATTCAACAAATACGGATTGATGGCTTTATTAATGGTTTTCGCAGAAGTTCTCTTAATAAGGAGAACAGGAATTATTTCCATAACAAAAAAATTCCAAATATTCACCGAAGATATAAACACTAGAACTAGTTTAATGAATAGTTGGATTATGGACTAAATTTTATAAATGTAGATATAACCGGAAACTCTCAAGAAACTATCGCCATGCCTAATTTGAATATTCATACACTTTCAATTTTTTGTTTTATCGATACACATATCTTCTTAAAACTTGAATAACAAAATCCTGGAAGTTTTTTACAACAGAAAATGTTGAAATTTATTAAAAATAATAATATTACAATAAAGAATACTGTATGAAAAAACAACTCACCGATGCTAAAAATGAAAGAATTCGAATTGGAAATTTAATTTTTGAATAGAAATTATATCTACCTCCAGTTATGAATTCTCAATTTCTTTGCCACCAAAAATTAGCTCAACATATTTTTGAATTTTCTTAGAAATAATTTTAAAAGACACAATAACACACAAAAGAACAGCGCTGGTCATTCCTAAGCTGCATCAATTTAAACGATATAATTAGTAGACTTATGCTCCGAAGATAAACAAAACAAAAAATTCAAAATCTGATCCACTATCAATGCGTGTTTATTTCGGCTTAATGATGATTATCTTCAAATTTAAATGCAAACAATGATAATGAACATCGACCACCTGATATTTAAATCTTAACTGACACTTAAATCAAGTTATCGCGCACAATGAAATGAGAAGCATAACAATGTCAGAGTTAAGCATTATTAAGTTAATTTTTGAACATTGTGATCTACCATAATATTGCATTTAATTTGTGCGACGGTATACGAGGCGAGTTGGAAAAGTTTGGGTAGTTAATATATCTGTATTTTTATCAAAAGACAAATCTTCGTATGCTTCACTTATAATATCGCTATCCGTTTTGAGATAATGGGATAATTAAAATCTTTGTACCCTCCCTCTATTTTAAACGAAATTGACTGCCCAGCAATGAGGTAGTTAAGAGTGGACACGACCTACAATGGAAGTGGGATTGTACCTCTAATCCCACTTCCATTGTAGGGGTTTGGGGTTGAAATGTGTCAAAAACAGAAAAATTTCCGAATTTCACAGATGTTCTACAGTTCACACTTTTAGACCGATCGGTTGGTTAAAAGTTTCGGGTGCGGTAGAAGTGGCCATACATTTGAAAATTTGAAATTTTCCATTTATCTGCGAATATTCTTTATCCCGGGGAAATCACAAATACACAAACTTGGCGATGCTGATATCCAAGATATCGGATATATAACAAAATATATATAATCTATATGTATCAAAGAAGATAATGTTAGGAATTCCGGTTATAACTCGAGTATGGTAGTCTCCGACATAGGAAAGTATATATGGATCTACCTATCTCGCCGAGTTAAGTCGATCTAGTTATGTATTGCCGTCCGTCCGTATGTCTTACCGTCTCTTTGTAATCACGCTACAGGTGCCCCAATTTTCACAAAATTGAGAATGAAGGTCGGGTTAATGTCATAATAGAACCCTATTTTTTTTGAGGAAGATCGCAAAATATTTAGGGGTTGAAATGTAACAAAAACAGAAAAATTTTCAGATTTTGCAGCTGCCTACATGTTGCAATTATAGACCAAATTACGCGGAACTTAACATGTGGCTAGAGATTAGGGTTGACCAGAAGCTTAACTTTAGATTTGGTCATTGGACATTGGAATTGGGCATTGGATATTTAGCGATTATATCTAGATACATAGAATAATTGTAAATATTTCTCCTTCTGACTCTTTCTGTCGGATACAAAAATTTATGTTGGATTCGTGGATCTACTCAAAAAAAAAAAGCTGTAATTTCGGTCGGGCCCATCTTTCAATACCATCCAGCATTTGAAACGATTTTTGCAATTTTTAAAGAAATAAAATCCGTTAAAAATTCTGTTAAAATCTTAAAATTACCGTTTTACCGTTATTATCGATGAATCGACATAGAATTTTATGCTGATCAAGAATATATATACTTTGTGGGGTCTAAAATGTATATTTCGAGGTGTTACAAACGGAATAATTATTGGAGCAATACACCGGACCGAGTTTCACAAAATAGAAAAATTCGGTTGAATATGAAAAATTCTATTCAATTTGAGCTGAAAATCGGATGAAGATGTATATCGAAGCTACATAAAAATCTGAACCGATTTCGTTAAAATTTTGCACCGGTATTTTTAAGCAGTATTTGATGCCCGGTATCGAATATCATTGCTGTGAGTGCATATTACTCATGTGAGGGACACCAAATCGGATTAAACATATATGAGATCTATAGCTATATTTCAACCGATTTTCACCAAATTTAAAACACTTGCTTCTAAACTTAATTCAGTCGGATGTGTCAAAATTCAGTCCATTTGAAATCGGATAAAGAAGCTATATCCAAATATAATGCGATCTTGATAATATTTGGCAGAGGTATTTCTGGGCTTTATCTGATATCTGGTACCAAATATTATTCTTTCGAAGCGCATAATACGAATGTAAGGGACTTAAACACCAAATCGGATGAAACATATATATGGGAGCTATAGCTATACATGAAGCGAATTTCTCTAAATTTGATGTACTTTTTTTAAATTTAATACGGTCGGATGTGCAAATTTCAGATTATTTGGACTTAAATTGGACATTTGGAGCACAATTAACGCGAATCGACTGATGATATATATGGGAGCTATATTTAAATTTGAACCGAAATTCTCGCCCAAATTCAATAGGGTTCGTCCTTGGGCCAAATAAATATTGTTTGGAAAATTGCATATCAATCGGATAATAAATGCAAATTGTATTTTGTTCACAAAAATCCACTAACATGCATAAATCGAAAGTAACTATGGATCTATGTCTTCTTCATGTTACATATAAATGCACCAATACCCTTACCACTATGTGGTGTAGGGAAATAAGTGCTACTAGATTTGGTATTGAGTGAAGTGATAGAGCTTGAATCCTGAAATTTGTTATTGAGGTCATTGTAGGTTGCTACGGTGTACATAGGGAGAGGTTTTAATAGTTTTGGTTTTACTAATTTCCTCCTCGGTTATAAAGAATTTTGAAGAGTTTTTGGGGAAAAAGTTAAAAATTTTCCCATTATTTTTTTCGAAAAAGGAAAATTTGAATGTAATGCAAAACCTTGAATGAATATGAATATTTAGTACGATATATAAAGTTTTGGTTAAAAAATCTTGGAAAAACATGAATTGCTAGTATAAGATATTTCTTTTGACATACGAAGTTTGGCACACTAAAATTTACTTATAATTAAAATCTTAACGTAGTGTCTGAGGAAGTATTCGCCAGTATTAAATGGAAACAAATAAATGAATAATTTACAAAATGGGTTTGATTCTAAAATAACCCAAATAATGGTTGGCTTATGGGCACCTACGCCTACAACTGGTAATGTTTTGACCTAATTCAGAATCAAGCTGAGGTTTTGACCAGTAACATGGATACTGAATATTTGTGGATTGTAAATTAATTAGTATCCAAAAGTTAAGTTAAGGATTACTTTAAGTTGTAAGGATTACATTCTAATCAAAATCAGCCAAAGAAATAAAAAAAAAAAACAAGTAAAAAAGTATCGGTCGGTTTTGCCGACAGCCAATGCTCGATTATTTAAAAATATTTTGACTTCTGCTATGATTATTCAAATGTTAAGCCCCTTATGGCCAATATTGGCCATTTCGTATCAGACCTAAATAAATGTGATATAAATATTGCAACGTGCTAGGTTTGGACTGTGTTGTGTTAATGGAAATTTTGGGATCTTCCAAGTCTTGAATAAAATCGGATGTCAATTTCGCTTTTTATGAGCTTCATGGATATTCAACATTTTGAGCCTTTGTGGGGGAGGTACCAGAAGGAGTGAACCGATATATCCCATCTTCACAACGGATCGGAAATAATGGGATGTGTGAAATATAAAGATAACCTGATGCTTATTTCGGATTTTATAAACGTTTTGGTTATTCAAAACTTTGCCCGTTTGTGGGAGAGGTAGCAAGAGGAATGGTCCGATCTCCACCGTTTTTTTTTTTTTTTTTTTTTTTTTTTTTTTAACAGATCCAGTGTTGATAGAAATTTCAGATGTGCCAAGTCTAAATGCAATCCGATGTTAATTTCGCGTTTTATGGATATTCAAAATGTCGACCTTTTGTGGGGGATGTACCAGAAGGAGTGGACCGATATTGTCCATTTTCGCACCAGACCTAGCAATGATGCAAATATTAGGATTTGCAAAGTTGGAGCATAATCGGATTATTCTTTTTCTTTCCGTGCAAAAAATTATATGTTTTGAAAATTTCGACCTTATGTGGGGGAGGTACCAGAAGGAGAGTACCGATATATTCCATCTTAACACCAGACCTTGGGTTAATATAAATATTGGGATGTGTAAAATCTTAAGACAATCGGTCACTTACATCACATTTTATCAGAGTTGTAATTATTCAAAATTTTTACCATTTGTGGAGGAGGTACTTAATGGAGTGGACCGATATTTTCCATTTTCACACCTGACCTCACACTGACGCAAATATTAGGATTTGCAAAGTTGGGGCAAAATCGGATTATCCTTTTTCTTTCTGTGCAGTAGAACATTTTTTGAAAATTTCGAACTTTTGTGGGGGAGGTACCAGAAGGAGTGGACCGATTTTGCCCATCTCCGAACTTGATCTAAGTTTGATTAAAATATTACGATGTACCAAGTTTGGATGAAATCGGATACTCCCTGCGAGAGTTATCGTGCGCACCAGCCAGCCAGACAGACGGACGGACGGACATCGCTAGATCGACTCCAAATGTTCTGAAACGGATTTGGTCCAAAGAGACCTAGGGTCTAAAGCCGTTATTTCGACTAGGCACGTTTTGACCGTATCAAATGATATATACCCTCTCTAGCCATATGGCTGAGGGTATAAAAAACACAAAAGGTCATAGCCACTCTAACACCTATAACCCACATTTATTTACTAACATACATTTAGGCCGGTCATATGGGTTTAAATATGTTTTGTATAATGAAGAAAAAACTGGTACTCTATTTGACACGCATTGAATTGAAGTTGCCAATTAAAAAAAAAACTAATTAACTTTAACAGGGCTTTTTTAACACGCTGCAACAAACAACACTTACCTACGACAAGAAAACCAATTAATGAGATAAACGCTTGGAAGTGGCGTGAAACTCCAAACTAATTATATCGGCCAAGTGGTTTCATTGATGAAACTCATTCATTCATTACTCTGCCCAAGCAGTATGTGGGATATATCATTACCATGTTCCAAAAAAAAAGAAGAAAAAAAAAAACACATAAAAAATATTACCAATCCTCAATATTATTTGAAATACAATTTAACAATTTGCTGCAAACTCTAAAAATAATTGGCAATAATATCAAGTTCAGGGTCATCTGAGCTAATGAGAGACGAAAGGAGCGTGATGCTGTGGTCTGGCACATTCCAAATCTCGGAAGTAATTTATCCATGGAAACGGGAGCAATTCATCAATGAGACGCCAAATGATTTCGAACATGGGCCCATCGTTGCAATTAATTTGTAAATGGCTGAAAATATAAAAAGCAAACATAGGCCATAGTCGGGTATTATTCATCTCTTACACCTCAGAGAGATAGCAATCAAAAGATGGTAATTTTTTCGGTTTTATTTGTTTAAATTTATTTTTAATAAAGAATTTTTTTTTTTTTTTTTGCAAACTTGTATTGCAGAATTCATTGTTGTTCTTCGTGGCCGTGGTGGCCGTTGTTACGGCAGATGTCTCCCACTTGGGCTACAACTATCCCCAACCTGAGCCAATGTTTTCGGTGGTACCATCCATTTCTATTCAATTGCCTACGAATAGCTTTTTTCCACCCGCAACTCCCATGAATACGTATGTTCCTCCCGCCCACATGCATCAACATAATCTGATGGCACAACAACAGCATCAGCAACAACAACAACAACATCATCATCATGAACAACACCAGCAACATCACCATGAACAACACCAGCAGCAACATCATCATGAACAACACCAGCAACAACATCAACATCAACATGAACAACACCAGCACCAACATCATCACGAACAGCAACACCAACCCCAACCAGATGTTTCCATCCCCTTGCCCTCATACGTTCCTTCAGAGCCCATGGTTCAACCTAACAATAATTTTGTGCCATCAGCTATTCACGTACATGGTCCAGCTCCAGCCCCTGTGGCTCAACCAAACAACAATTACTTACCTCCCATGGAAACGGTGTCCGCCCCTAAACCTCACAACAATTTCGTGCCACCTATGGAAGCGGCTCCTGCTCCTAAGCCACAAAACAACTACTTGCCTCCCATGAAATTGACTCCTATTATGACAGTTATGGCTCCCAAAGAGACCTATCTTCCCCCGGCACCTCAACAAACCTACATTCCTCCAGCCCCACAGAAAATGCACTTGCCACCAGCTCAGCCCAAACAAAGCTACCTTCCACCAGCTGAACCCAAACAAACCTACCTACCACCAGCTCAACCCAAACAAACCTACCTTCCACCTGCACCCAAACAAACCTATATTCCACCAGCTCCACAAAAGACCCATCTGCCACCAGCCGAACCTAAACAGACCTATCTACCTCCTGCTCCTAAGAATACATATATTCCACCAGCTGAACCCAAGAAAACATACATTCCCCCGCCAAGTGCCCCAGTTGAACCCAAAAAGAGCTACTTACCACCAACAACACCAGCACCTGCTCCCAAGAAGTCATACCTTCCACCACCCAAAACAACCGACTCTGTTGTCCCCAAGAAGGCATACCTACCACCACCAACAGCAGCCCCTGCACCAGTTACCCCCAAAAAGTCATATCTTCCACCATCAAAAACCTCTGCACCAATTGCACCCAAAAAATCTTATCTTCCTCCAGTAAAAACACCCGTAGCGCCCATTGCTCCCAAAAAGGAGTACCTTCCACCAACAGAAACTGCCCCCGCCACACCCAAGAAAACCTATATTCCTCCACCATCCCGAACTGTTGAACTACCTCCAGCACCGGTTAAACAGGAACCCACAGTTGCCAAGCCCAACAAGGATTATTTGCCACCCACACCCAAAAAATCGTATCTCCCTCCCCAGCCGGAAAAACAACCTCAAAACTCGTATTTGCCACCCGAAGAGTCGAATGCTGAAAAGCCTCACATTATCACCCCACCTGCACCCCGTCTCGAGGATTTGGTCGCCCCTCAACGTCCCGAACCCAAATATGTCGATTCGGAACAATTCACCGATGAAGGTTACAAGACTGTACGCAAATTGAAATTGTAAATTGATCAATGAAAAATTTTACATTTTTTTGAAATTTGCAATTGTTATTTAGTTCTAAAAAAATAGATCTATTTTTTCGGTTTTGTTTAAAATTGGCTTTGCCAATATTAAATTCGTTAAAAAATAAAATGTTTTCTTTAATTTGAAATGAGTCTTTTTTAATTTTGTACAGATGAGGGTTTGAAAATTATGTGTCATTAAAGACTGAACATGACTTCCTCCAGCTTCATACCTTAACCAGAGACAGCAACAGTGATATCTATATCAAATTTCAGGATTTCAGATCTATTTCTTCACCTTAGTTTTCGTACAATTATAATACACATTTCCAAAACCTCATCCATATCTCAATTCCAGTTACCAACAGAGACCTTGACCCTTTCAGTGTTTTTGTCAAATATATTTGACATTTAAAAGTACTCTCTTTCTTTGCCATTTGTTGTTTTTCTTACGAACCGTTATTTTTGATATTTTTTAATAACAGACACGTTCGCTATTTAAAATATTGCAGTTCTATTATATTTGTTTCGTTTTCGAATTTCTGAGCACATCTTAGTAAATTAGTACGGAATTTCAGATTTTTATCTCGACAAAAATTTTCATTGACACTGAAAGGGTTAATATAAAATCTGACAAATAAAAATCGTACAATAAAAGTTCCATTTCTACTTTCAGAGTTTTATCTCTATCACTTCATCTAATACCAAAACTGGTACAATTAAGTACATTTCGTACACATATAGGACGCATTTTCAAATTTCAGTTCTACAATTTCCTCCATTGCCAAATTTAGTACCATTAAGTACAATTATAGTACGCATTTCCGGACCCACCTCCTTCTCGAAAAGACAGACACCAACCGTGATATCCATATCAAATTTCAGAATCTAAGCTCTATCCTCCTCGCAATATCGGATATAGTAGAGTTTAGTACTTTTCGAACAATTATTGTACACATTTTTAAAACCACCTCATATCTTAATACCAGATTCCAACAGGGGACTCAATATCAAACTTTATGACTCCAGCTTTATCCCTCCACCCAATATTCAACTTAGTACCATTTACTACTTTTGGTAAAAACCAAACCTCCGACAAATCTCAAATACAGATACCATCAGCAATCTAAATATAAAATTTCAGAATATTACCTCTATTCCTATACCATTCTGTATTTTTTTTTTTTGTATAATTATAGTACTCATTGCCGAAACCACCTCCATTCACATGGTGAGCGAGTCTAATTAAAAATTTCAGATTTTAACACTATCTGTCCTCTTAATACCATATTGTACCAAATATAGTACAATTTATTACTTTTCGTGCAATTGTAGTACACAAGCTTTGCCAGGGCTACCAATGCATCTAGGGAAAGTCACAGTTTGTGCGTTTTATTGGAAGGTAGCATCGTTGGAGCATACTTCTTCAAAAATGCTTCGAATCGTACTGTAAACATGAGTGGTGTGCGCTGCAGTCGGATGTTATACACATTCCTATTAATATGTCCAAAATGTTTGCGTGCCCAAAGCTTTAATACAGCCCCTAGAATATTTTCGCGATAATATTCGGCATTTATTCTGATGCCACGGTCGATTAATACGAGCGGAGAACGACCATCGGCTGTTATGGTGGTCATCACCATGGCCGGCGCTTGAGTTCTGATGGCCAACCGAAAGTGCACATTTTCACATGAAACACGATCATTTTGTTTATTAACAAACTGCTGAAGAACGAATGTTTTCTCACCGGCAGTTCACCACTTTCGGCCAAGCGACAGAACTCTTTAGCTCTTTTGAGTCTATTTTTTTCTATTGCACTGTAAGTTCTTGCACTTTTTGGAATTTCAATGGCTTTATCCCGAGCTCATTTTTCAATATTTGCGAATGGAATATTGCTATATGTTCAGCTCACGCTTCTTGACTTTTCGAACCATTTCTGCTGACGTTGCTATTTTCTTCCGTCCACTTCCTTGACGTCGGGCTACGCTACCAGTATCACGGTAACGAGCGGTGGTACGAGACACATAAGATTTATTCACATTTAAATGCTGGAGTGCTCTAGCGATAGCCTCTTGTGGTTTTCAGCCAAATATAAAGAAATTACACTATTCAAGCATAATAGTCACGTAATAGTCCATGACGAATAACTTTTGTTTCTGGAAAATTCTCACCAAAATCCTTTTGTACGCTTGTAAAAAATATAATGAGCTGTTACTGTAATGTGTCGGACAGGTGGCTTAGAAATGACAGCAGTCTAAAGTTCGTTGCAGTTTTTTCATCTCACCGTGAATGTTAAATTTTTAAGAACCAGCTTCAATTGAGAGATATACTAGCCGAGGAGATAGAAAGAGTATCCCAAAATTGGAGTAAGCGGACACAGTCGACAATTACATGAAATAATATTTAAACATTAAATTATATAGACCGTACTATCAATTCAAATAAAGATTTCATGCATTTGACCGAAATTTCGAGAAAAAAAAACTTATAAGTTACCTATAACTCAAAATGTCAAAAATTGGGTAGAAAATTCTTAATCATTACACCAAAACAATATATTTATGTGATTTCAAATTTAAAATTTAATTATAACTTCTTAAAATTTTGGAAATTTAAAAAGTTACCAGCCTATGTAAGAGGAAATCAATAAAAGTGAAAATGTTTAATTTTAATAATAACTCTCCTATCGATTGCCTAAATAGCTATATCATCATTGACTGTTATATGCTTTGCATATTATTACTACAAACATATTATTATCTGCATTAATATACCACTTAACAACTTGTTTTTATTAAAACGAATCTTTATCGTCGAAACCATTAACTAAATGATTATCGATCCGCTCATATTGAACATTTATTAACATAACACCACACATCATCTGCGAAACACATCTGCCCAGTTGTAAACCAAAAAAAATATGTGAATTTATTACAAGTTGAACAAATCGAACAAGTTTGAGTGAACAAATTCGATTTTCTATGCCAATGACTTTAAAAATAAATAAAAAAAAAATCTGTATTACATGGAAATCATATTCATCCATTCACTTTCTTATGCGGAAGTTCTAAAATTAAAAAAAATGGTACCCCCAACTAAATAAAAAGGCCTATGTTCAGACAAATTAGCACATTTCGCATGGTCTTCAAACGATATGTTGCGGAAACGATGAATTGTATGGTGTAATAAATTCTGAAAACTTGTTTGACAAATTGATGGGAATTTTTTTCTATGAACAATATTTAGGCAGAGTTGGAACAACTATTTTTTTTTTTTTTGCTTTTTTTGTAGACAGGTGACTGCGTATCAATTGATAAATTTGAGTTTGAAATAACACCGCCAGTGATCATATAATAGCTCGTCTTGTCTAGCGATAGGGGATAAATTAGGAAAAGTGAAATGAAATTTTATAAGAATTTAAAATTAACTCAAATTAGTAGCTAAAGATCACGAAATTTGAAAAATCTTCAAAGTACATACTCTCACCCGAGATCACTTTATGCATTAACACATTGTCCATAATTAAACAAGATTAAAAAAAAATTATCTCCATATATTAAATTACTAGAGAAAATTTGGTTAAAGTCATTACAATTCTTCTACACTTTAACCTTCGTTACCGTAAAAATACAAAGAACATAATTTCATAATTTTTCGGAGCTAGTAACGATGACAAAATAATGTCAATGTCAACAAAGAGAATTAAATAAAATAATTTTTCAAAAACAAGTAAACAAAGGCTGAAATAGTGCCGTGCCAACCATGTGATACCCTACAACACTACAATATCTTAAAAGCCCCCTTGTGTCTAAATCCATTTTGGAACATTTCGCTTTTGAAATTATGTCATTGAATTCTGCCCAGATATTACCCTTAGTTTCTTGACCTGGGACATTTGCCCAATATTTACGCACTCCGTTGTGTTGTTAGTTGTTGTGATCCATTTTACAGCTAAATATAATCCAACGGTGATTCCAAATGCTAGACTTCTTCGCTGTCCTTAACTCTCTTCTCAGGCAGCATTCCGTGTCGATTGGTTTCAATTGTGTGGACAGGAAAATTTTTCTTCATATACCTTCATCATGGTATGGAGGTTATATCAAGTTGGTCATTCCGTTTGTAACTCCTCGTAATATACATTTTAGATCCCACAATGTATATATATTCTTGATCAGCATAAAATTCTATGTCGGTTTAGAGATGTCCGCCTGTCTATCCGTCTGTGAAAATCACTCTAGCCTACGAACGAAATGAAGTAGGTTGATAAAATTTTACTCAAATGTATATTATGTCTGCAGGACTTTTGGTATTAAAAATGGGCCATGTAGGTCCACGCTTTGGTATAGCTCCATATATTGGTACCTCCCTATTTTTGGTATTTTGGTGATTTAAGCGACATTATTCACGGAAATTTTGGTATTTGAAGTTCATGATGGATACTACAGCCTATGACAGAAAATTGTCCGTGCAGGTCCACGTCTTCGTATAGCCCACATATACCGTACCTCCCAATATTCGGTACTTTGATGAGTTTACCGATATTATTCACCCGAATTGTATTAGAAGTTCTTTGAGTATTAGAAGTAATTTGGTATTAGAAGTTCTTAATAGATAATATAGCCTATGACAGAAAATTGTCTGTGCAGGTCAGCGTTTTGGTATAGCCCCCATATAAAAGTACCTCCCTATATTCGTATTTTATGTTTTTAGCTACATTGTTCACCGATTTTTTTTTCAAGTTTCGCACTTGAATATTATGACAAAATTTGCCTCTGCAAATCGTCGTCGTAGACCCTAATGTAACGGCTACATTCGGCATTTTTATAATTTTAACAGATTTTTTAAGGGATTTTATTTTTTTTTTTAATTGTTAAATTCGTTCCAAATGGTAGAGGGTATTCAAAGTTCGGCCCGGCCGAACGTACATCATTTTTACCTGTTTAGCTTTATTCTTTTATGAAAAGAAGGCTTTCTGAATTAACAAAATATGCCAAACGC